TTTGCTGATACTCATCCTCCTCTAGTTAAATCTCATGACTCAGAGAACTTTTTAGTTTCTCCAGAGTTGTTTTGTTCAGATCTTTTGATACCTTCAGCGTTGTCACCATTGGCCTTCATTTCTTAGGCAGACTTCTGGTGATTTTCTTTACATGATCTTAAGTGGTATAGCCTTTGTTTAGGACTTTTAATCTAGCTACAAAAGTTTTAAATCTTAGAATATTTCCTTAATCATTTCATCCTCTTCCATTTTGAAAGATTCATACTTCTAGCTTAAAGCCAACGCTTTAGTTTCTTTGATTTTCACATTTCCTTCATTAGTCATTTTCAAAGAATCAAATATAGACTTAGCAGAGTCTCTATTTGTTATCTTTTCATACTCATAGTAGGAAATAACATTTAGAAAAATATTTCTAGATCTATTATGATTCTTGTTATCCTTTTTTTGTTGTTCACTCATTTTGCTTATTTCGAGCTTAATGCCATCAACATCTGTAGGATATGTGTAACCATCTATTACCATATCCCATAGATCAACATCACAACCTATGAAGAAATTTTTTATTCCATCTTTCCAATAGTCGAGCTTTTCTCCATCAAAGATTGGAAGTTTTGTAGAATTATGATCTTTATCATTGCTTGCATGTGGAATACCGTGTTTTTTAAAAAATGGATCTTTATATGAAACATTCAAGTGTTTAACACAAAGTAGTCAAAACCAGAATCAGAGCTCTGATGTCAATTGAAGGTTTAAGAAACCCAAGAAGCGGGTTGGGGGGAGGGGTTGAATTGGGTTTCTAGATTTAAAACTTTTGCAACCCAATAACATAAACAACAACGATAAAGGCAAAGATAAAATAGACAAGTATTTTTATCATGGTTTGCTATTAACGAAGCTTTGTCCAGTCCCCCCCCCCCCCCCCACTTGAGTTATTTCGTTTTCTCACTAAGGACTTAATCTAATAATCAAACTAATTACAACAACTCAAAGGCAATCTATCTAAGACTTCTTGAGAATTCTGACTATACCATACTCTCTCAAGGAAATACAATCTCAAAGGGTAAATGTCAATGACTTCTTCAGAATTTTGACTAAACTTAGTCTCTCAAGGAATTTAACCAAAGGTTAAGATAACAAGGTTGTCTTTACAAGATGGTTCAAAAAGCAGATACACAAGTTTAAAACAAATGACACGCTTATTAAAGGATTCAAGAAAGTGCTATAACATTTTTGAACGTAATAGTTTTCTTAGATTAAAAACACTTTTCGTTTTGTATAAGAGCCTTTAAAATCTAATGTAGTGTTGTGTTGTATGCTCTTTGTGTATGTCTGTGTGTGTATCTCTTCCAAGCTTCCAAGACCTTTTTAAACAGGGATAAATATATCTATTGGAGGTTGAAGTTGGAATATCCTCAATATAACAGTTGTATGGAGGTCACTTTATTTTACAACATTTAAGTGGTGCTTGCAGCAGAGAGTTGGTGAGGATGATGGGATGTGATGAACTTCGTAGGAACATAGTACAATACTTTACATAGAAAGTAGATTTTGCTTCTATACTCCTGTGACTTTAATCAGTCGTTGACTTTTGTATAAAAACTTCTAGTCAGAGGTTTCATTTCAAAGTTGATGAAGCTTGAGTAGATTTCAGAACCTGTCTTTAGAACTAGGTGAGAATAAGACTTTAGAGTCTATAGAGTTCAGAGTTTTAAGACATCAGAAGCTTGTAGTTAGTCCTTATCATAGTCTATCTGGACAATTTCTTAATAGAAACATTGACTTGACAATTCAGAAGCTTGACTTCCTTGTAAACATGTTTTTTAATTTATCCTTTGTTTCAGAGTCTGGACATCTTTAGAGTCAGAATTTGTTTTTTATTATCTGCACACTTAGAAAAATAGTATAGTACAAACTTGTTCTATACAATTTGTTATCATCAAAACTTAAGGATAGTTGTAGAACCAAACTTTTTCAAACAAGGTGGAGAAGGTCAAACCTTGAGGGCGCCCCTTTTAAAGTTTTGGCAGAGGAGGTTAGGTTAAATTTCGAGAAAGAATTCTCAATGAAGGAGTTGAGTGAGGCAGTGTGGGATTGTGAGGGGGACAAATGCCTTGGGCTAGATGGGATAATTTAGTTCTATAAAAAAAATGTTGAATTATGTTGAAGAAAGATATCTTTAATTTTCCTATGGAATTCTATCGAAAGGCCAAACTCCCCAAGGAAATTTTAGCCTTTTTTTGTCCTAGTCCCAAAGATTGATAATCTGCAAGGTTTAGGTTACTATAGATCAATTTTCCTAGTGAGTAGATTTTACAAGATTTTATCAAAAGTGCTAGCGTTGAAGTTGAAAAGGGTGCTGAAGACTGTGATCTCTTATTGACAAATAACTTTCATACCCGGGAGACAAATTTTGGATGGGATTTTGGGGGTGAACCAGATTATTGTCTTGGCTAGAAAAAAGAAGAGAGATTGTTTACTTTTCAAGTTTGATTTAAAAAATTCTTATGATAACGTTAGTTGGAGCTTCCTCTTTGTTATGATGAGAAAAATGGGGTCTCGTGACCTTTGGTTGAAGTGGATGGAGGTTTGCGTGAGTTCTAACAGTTTATCAGTTTTGGTAAATGGTAGCCACGCCATTATCCCCATTTCTCTTTACCATAGTAGTAGAAGGTAATCTAGAATTATGAGAAAGGTAGTTAAGGTGGTTTTATTTAAAGGGTTTAAGGTAGACAATATGGTAGAGTACAACATTCTTCAATTCGCATATGATATTATTTTGGTGGGGGAAGGTTCTTGACTAAACTTGTGGGGTATAAAATATATCCTTTTGGGTTCTAGTTTGTGTCTAGATTGAGTGTGAATTTAAACAAGAGTGAGCAAAGCAACAATACAAGAAAATTAACAGAGAAATCTAACCTCTTAGAGATACAAACCAAAGGTTTTGTACACAAATCCAGCCATCATGAAGTTGCCTGCCATTTGTGTCTTGCGACAAACCATTCCCAAGACAAAGCCTTCGCCAACATCACTATTTCAACCACACCCTCATGGTCTCCTTTAAAGAGAATCTTATTTTTACATAACCAAATAGACCAATGCACCGACACCCATATTAAAATTTGAATGTTCTTCTTAACTCTTCCCTTTATAAATTGTCGAAACCACCACAAGTTATGCACCACAAAATTCATTTTGACATTCTTATGAATATCAAGCCAACAATGTATCTCCTTCCAAACTTGTGCTGCTAAAGGACATCTCAGGCACAAATGTAAGGAAGTGTTTTCATAACCAAGACAAAACAGACAAACTAAATCATGTATTCCATTTAAGACCTCTCTATTTGCTAATTCAACTGGTTGGAAGCCTATTCTACAATAGTCTCCAACCAAACACTTGAATTTTACTTGAAATATATTTTTTTACGATACATCAACCCCTAAAAAAAGTCGTAATTGTTTTAATAGAATACCACAAAATTTATTTGAATGTTATAAAAGTCTTAACTAAATACCACAATATTTTTTACGATAATATTAATTTGTACCCTAAAAATATATGTTAAAAAATTGTAAATAAAAAATATGGGTTGTAAAAGTTAATTAATTAATTAATTGTAAAATTTAAATAAAATCAATACACAATTTTCAAAATCAAAATTTAATAGAAACCTAATTTTAATTTTAACATATATCAAAACAGTTAATGTATAAAGAGACTTACACACACAAAAGTGACATTCATTATAATTTGAAGAGAATGTGTATATTTTCATAGTGAAAATAAATGTGCTTGACATAAGTCATTTTACGTTAGTAATATAGTCTAAATCATGAAAATAATATAAGCTCATTGTGAGACTTTTCTGAATTCTAAGACCATCTCAGGAGGTTCTTAACCGATTTTTTAAAGAACAAACCCAAAATTTAGCAAAAATGTCATTGGAGTTAACTAGGGTGAAAATATATTTATATTAATCCGTTTCACAATGAGTATTCTACTTAAAATAAAGAGTGTTTTAAAATAAATGATTGATTTTAGTTTTTAATTTTTTTTTAATTTTTTTTAATTAATATCACTTTCACCATTCTCAATATATAATAAGAGCACTTTAATAAAACATATTTAATTAATAATTTAATTATTTAAAATATATCGTTTAATTTTCATTTCATAATTCATCATTTGTTTATAAATTGTAATTATTTAAAAAATTTACATTCAAACTTTTTTACAATTATATTTATTCTAAAACTCTTAATTTTTCTCTCAGGTATTTAACATTAAATTTAATTATTATTATTATTATTATTATTATTATTATTATTATTATTATTATTATTATTATTATTATTATTATTATTATTATTATTATAAAAAATTAAGTTCAATTGTATATATTTAATTATTATCCGTGTTCAAATTGATTAAAATTAATATTTCAAATTTAATAAAATTAAACTTAAATAAAAAATTAATATATAAGATAAAATTGTGGGCCTTAATATAAATTTTAAAAAATTAAATGAGTTCTTCAAAATGATGCAATCCAACCCATATAAAAGTAAAATAAAAACTAGGATATAGTCTAGCTCTCTACAAGTTTTGTTCATACATATTTTTTTAAGCGATTTGTTCATACATCTTTACGTGTGTAAGTATATATCTCTCAATAACTAAATACAATATATTCAACGCAACTTGTTTTTCCAAGCAAAAGTTCTACCTATCAAACAAATAATAGTCTTCCTTTCCCCTCATTATTCACACTTTTCCCATGAAGCCTCAATATTCAACGTTCAAAACCCTTGAATAAAAAACAAAGTAGTTTCTTTTTAGTTAAGGCCATAGACTTTTATAGTCACAATAGGAAATAAATAAATTTAATAACGAAAACGACGTTATTAAAGTCTTTGCCATATTATTCTTCACTCCATACAACACGCATTGCATTCATATATATCCAAACCTCCATCTTCATTCTTCTTCATCCTATAAACATGAGTAATTTCAATGATCAAAACCATGATGATGATCATACTTTTTATCTATTTGGAAATTCTGATCATGGATCAAGTCAAAGCAACTTCAACAGAAAAATATTGTTAACCGCAATAGTTTCTTTAGTACTAGTATTGATTTTGGTCTTGGCTCTTCATCTCTACGCTAGGTATGTTCTTAAACGCCAAGCTCGCCGGAGAGCCGCCATTCATCAACTCAGCCTCACCGTCGCTCATGCTCACGTTCAATTCGCCGATCCGTCAAACACCGGACTCGATCCAACGCTCATTGCCACTCTTCCTACTTTCCTCTTCAAACAAAAAGAAAAACAAGATGACGAACAAAACAACAATATTGTTGAATGTGCAGTGTGTTTGAGTTTGCTAGAAGATGGAGAAATGATGAGGTTACTTCCTAATTGTAAGCATAGTTTCCACGTGGCTTGTATAGATATGTGGTTAGCTTCGCATTCCACTTGTCCGATTTGTCGAACCAAGGTTGAACCGCGGCTTGAACCAGAGATGCGCGAGGGTCCCACTTGGTTTAAACCCTCATCTGAAAGTACTTCAGACGGTGGCGGTTCTATCAGTGAGTCTCCCAAAAATATTTCTCGATTGAGCTCTTTTCAAAGGATTCTTACTAGAGATAGATCTTCGAGAAGAATTCAACCTTCTATTACTACTCGCGTTGATATTAATCCTGATCGTGATTTAGAGAGACAATAATTTTTTTTATGTAAAAAAATTTAGATTAGAAAAAGATAAATTATCTAAAGTTTGAAGAGTTACTTATTTGATTGATGATTTACCAAATATTAAAATTATTGTATTGTTACTATTAATATTAATATTAATGAGGTATCACTACTCTATATAGGTTTAAATTTTTTTTGAAGTGATGATGTAATAGTTTTGACATTTTTTATACATGTTAAGTTAGTCAAAAGTATGAGCGGTTTTGGTGTTGAATTTCATTAATAGTTAATTATTAAACTTATTATGGACAAAGGATTTGGTGTTTGGTAACATGGCTTAACGTAAAATAATGACTAGAAAATATATAATAATGGGAAGATTAGGTGGTTGTTCCATGTGATGTGAGGTAGCAAATGTAATTAACTGATATTTTATAGTTTGTTGTTTTGTTGTGTTTTTTATTGGACAAATTTGGTGAGGGAAAACGAGAACCATGATCCTGATAATTGGGATTTGTGTTGACTTACTCATGTGAAAATGTATGAAGATAACAAAGGAGTAGATGGAATCTTTGAATGATGATCATGATGGCATTTGTTTTTATCAAACTAGGAGTAGCGTTTTACTCAAGTTTTCGGTTTTTGTTTTTTGAAATATTTGGTGTAACCGGCCACTAACTAGTAAACCACTTTTATGGATCCATATTAAAGGGATATAAGAGAGTAAGATTTGGGCCAACATTTGAATAGAGAATGGAGACTGAGGTAGGTCTTGGTTTTGAAAACGTGTACACGGGAAAAAAGAGGTACTTGTTCTGATTCTTTGCAATGGCTCTGAATATTTTTGAGTAATCTCAATCTCAACTGTTCTTTTCAATAAAGTAGATATAGTTAATAAGTAATTGATAAATGGATGGTAGAGATCCGCATAATATGAAAAATATGAGAGAGATGGTAAGATACCATTTGTTTATGTCCATATGGTGGTCAGAGGGGGAGTCATTGGGAGGAGAGGGCTTATACATATACTTCTTCCGATCTTATTTATAAAAAATAAAAAATTTGATTTTTTAAATTTATTGAATAATCAATGTATCTAATATATTATTGTTAGTATAATATTATTTTTGAGTTCATCTTAGCCTTACACGTGTACGGTTAGTTACACCATTTTACTTGTTAGTTATTATCTGATGTATATATTGGATGTTGTACCTTTCCATTATTAACTATTGAATAAATATCAAATTGTATCTTTTGAAAGTTGTCTTTCTCTTTTCCAAACTTGCTTAGTTTTCTTCACTTTCCATGAAACTTGTGCATGAATATTGCTCCATTAACATGGTATCAGAGTTTTCAAAGCTCTGGTAGCCATTATTTCCTTATCACTTTTCCTTCTTCCTCTTTGGTTTCTGTGTTTCTTCTGCAGATTTGTTTGTGTTTCATTTTTCTTCATTCGTTCACTAAGGGTTTACCAGATTTACAAGGATTTTTCTACCGACTCCACAAATCCTTACTATCTACATCCAAATGAAAATCCAGCACTCGTTCTTGTATCTCCATTGGTTGATGATAAAAACTATCACACTTGGTCAAGATCAACGCACGTCGTTTTGATTTCAAAAAACAGAGAGAAGTTCATTGATGGAACCCTAACCAAACCTCTACTAGCATATCCTTTGTATGCTCCATGGATTCGATGCAACACCATGGTTTTTGCTTGACTTCATTGTTCGATTTCAAAATTCATTGCAAAATCTGTCTTATGGATCGATAGCGCTGCCGGTGTCTGGAAAAATTTACAGACTCACTTTTCTTATAGCAATCTATTATGCATTTATGATATTCAGGAGGATCTTTACAAGCTCCGTCAAGGTAATCTTGATGTCTCTAACTATTTTACTCAGTTGAAAGTTCTAGGAGATGAATTGGATAACCATCTCCCTATTCTTGCTTGTTCCTGCGCTATTCATTGCTTTTGTGGTGCGATTGAATCAATTCAGAAGTATTGTGAACAAGACTGTGTGATTCGTTTTCTAAAGGGATTGAATGAAGAGTTTACACATTCCAAGTCACAAATTATGATGATAAATCCCTTACCAGAAATTGATAAAGCATTTTCTCTTATTATCCAACAAGAAAGTGAGATGAATAATTCAGTACCTGTTGTGAATCCTATTGGTAGTAACAATGAAGAAACTATTGCTTTTCAAGTTCAGAATAATTCAGGATTTTACAATGGCAAACCTAGTTATTCTAAAAGGAAGACACAAGGTTCTAATGGTGCTCGAGGCCACAACTGTGTATGTACGCATTGTAGAAGAATGAATCACACCGTTTAAACTTGTTTCATAAAACATCGCTTTCCATCTAGATTCAAAGGGAAAGGTAAAACTCAAAGTGATGGCAACAATGTTCAATTCGCGGTTGCAGTTAACATTGCCTCTGATTACTTTCAACAAGTTCAGTTGTATCTTCTTTTGGATTCACTCAAGAGCAGTACAATAACATCATAGAGTTGCTCCAACAGTCCAAACTCAGCCCTCAAGCCAATTCCATTTCTACCTCACCTTTTGTCATGAACTCACACTCAACCACTCTCATGGTAAGAACTCTCATCTCTGGATTTTAGATATTGGCGCAACACATCAAATTTTAGATACATGTCCATGTAAATTTATCTGATGGTTCTCACATTGTTGCATCTATGTCTGGCAGTGTCATTATTTCACCATCTCTAACTTTGCACAATGTACTTTATATGCCAAATTTTCATGTCAGCCTTATCTCCACTTCTAAACTTGTCAGTAGTAATAATTGTTTTGTGCACTTCAATGTTGATACTTGCCAAATCATGCAGAATCATTCCAAGGAAAGGATTGGTAAAACTAAATTGCAAAGAGGGTTGTATGTTCTTGACTCTACACCATATTCTTCAGTTTACACTTCCACTGTTAATGATTCATGTAATCTTTGGCATTTTAGACTAGGACACATTTCTGATATAGGATTAAAAACTATTTCAAAATATTTTCCATTTATTCCATGTAAAAACAATAACACTCCTTGTGAATCTTGTCATTTTGGCAAATAGAAAAACTTACCCTTTCCTCATAGTAATACTCAATCTTGTGTACCTTTTGAAATATTGTGTACTGATTTATGGGATCCATTCTCTACTATTTTCTTCTTAGGACACAAATACGTTTTAACATTTATTGATGACTATAGTAGATATACTTGAGTTTTTTTCCTTAAGACAAATGACCAAGTTACAAGTAATATCATGCAATTTATAGCCTATATTGAAAACCAATTTCACTCATTCTTGAAATATATCAGAACAAACAATGGCACAAAATTTGTTGTCTTATCTGAGTTCCTTTTGTCCAAAAGGTATCATACATAAAAAATAATGTGTTGAAACACCCCCAACAAAATGGAGTGGTTGAGAGAAAACACCAACACATTTTGAATGTTGCTAGGACTTTATCCTTTCCCTTTAATTTTCCTTTGAACATGTGGAATTTTAGTATCCAACATGCCATCCATTTAATCAATAGACTACCATCCTCCTTATTGAAATTAAAATTTCCTCATGAACTCTTATTTTCTTAGCCACCCTCATTGACACATTTAAATGTTTTTGGTTGTTTATGCTTTGCCACAACTTTATAAGCCCATAAAATAAAATTTGACCCTAGAGCTCGCAAATGTATATTCCTTGGTTATAAGGATGGGACAAAAGGCTATATCATATATGACTTGCACAATCACAATATTGTTGTCTCTAGGAATGTTATTTTCTATGAAAATAACTTTCCCTTCAAACTTAACCAGACATTTACCACAAACCATAACAAAATCAAACCTAATCAAAACATTTAACCTATTCTTGATTACATGCCTAATCTGCCTAGGTCTGCCACTACGACTGACATATTCTTTTTCTCATGAAATTGACATGCATGCTGCTTCTCATGAAAGTGACATACCAGCTACTTCTCATGAATCTTTCACAACTCCTCTCTCTTCCAACCAGCATAGTAAGTTTTATCTCTCATCTACAACCACTTTAGACTCGCCTAGTATTGCAGGTCCTAATCAATTTGATCAACTTTTATCCAACAATCATTTTCCTAGCCTTATTACTAGTATTGTAGATCCTAGTATTGCAGCCCTAGTCAATCTGACCAACTCTTATCCAACAAACGTTTTCCTAGCCCTATTACTCATCCCTTATCTGATGAGCATCTCAATGACCATGTGACGCTACTCGAAAAATGCATCGCGCAACGACGGGGAGGCGAAAAGAAAGGACAGAAGAGTCGCCATCGAACTTTATTTATCCCATGAGGGGAAAGGAAAATATCGAGAAAACCTTAAGAAACGAACGGATAAGATGGTCTCGCAACCAAGAACGGGTTCGGAAGCCGGTTATGCGAAGGGAAGGTATTAGCACCCCTCGCATCCATCGTACTCGATGGGAACCTTTTGTTTGTCGATGTGTGAATTTATTTGCTTAAATATTATGCTATAAAAAGTGTTCCAAGGGATTAAGAGAACGGTTTAGAAAACGGGGAAAGAGAGGTAACGGAGGGGAGAGGAAAAAGAACAGACTCGGTAGGACTTCGCGGTCCTAGGCCTACGTATTCTCAATAGGTATGAGAAAGTCAGAGTCGACGTAGTTCGGGAAACTACGGGTGATAGGGGGGATTGTGCTCGCCAAGACATCGTCGTCTTGTGCCTACGTATTCTCATCTGGTATGAGAAATCAGAGCAGCCGTAGTTCGGCCTACGGGTGAAAGGTGAAAAAGGGAGCTCGCCAAGACATCGCCGTCTTGTGCCTACGTATTCTCATCTGGCATGAGAAATCAGAGCGAACGTAGTTCGTGCTAACGGTGTGTTGATGTTTTTTATGGATGATGCTATCGTGCGCATTCTAGCAGTTAGGTGTTTTGCTGCTCGCTCGTTGGAGACTTAGGCGTTACCTGTTTGCGGTAGAACGGACGTATCATATCCTTTTTGAAA